ATATTTACTCTAGCTGTGAGGCGGTATAAATAATAATAATATACATGATATAAATTCTACTGATAGAACTAATAAATACCCAATACAAATACTCGTGTAACCTATGCAAGAATGACGAATATACGAATTATCTAACACGTTTATAATTAAACACGATCCTAAGTTTCAACATTCTATTATAGTGACTTACTTATATATACAGTGGGGGGAAATAAATATTCGTACACTTGAAAAATCGTATTTTAATGTATGTAAGTACACAAACTGAACAGGAGAAGTGATTTATATTATGTATAGAGGCGCATTGTATTCAAAAATAGTTTGTGTACTTACATACATTAAAATACGATTTTTCAAGTGTACGAATATTTATTTCCCCCCACTGTACCTTGTAACGCAGAAGCTACTAACATTGTAATTATTTAAGATTAAGAAGTTGAGGCCATTTATCGACCATTTAATTTTCGGGGTTTTAAAGCCAAACCCATTGTTTGAAAACCATAGAATAAGTGTTTAATTCGCTATACACGTACAGATGCACTATAACGGTGACAATGTTCTTCGTCACTTAACATATAGATTGAAGAAAATTCGGGCGAAACGTGATCATAATAATGCGTATTTTAATTTTATAATAACTTGTGTTTTGATTTCTTTCAAATAAAATACTCAATTTGGCAATATTGCCCTATTTGTAGCATCACTTGCAATTGTTCGGATTTAGTTGCCAATGATCAATTTCAATGTTCAAGATATCGCCCATCTTCCAGCATTTCGAGAGAGAAATAAAGGAGTTGACCTAATATGTACTGGGCTTAAAACGTTGGATATTTAGGTGAATATAAAATTGAAATACATAGAGATTACAAACTTTCCCAGCCACTCAAGTTGCACCATAGATACAACACAGCGGATGTTCGAAGTAAGATCATTATTTATCATTATTACTCATTTTTATTCAGGATCAGACTTCAGCTTAGAACGTGCATGAGTAACTTTGTTCTGACTAACATTGCAGCCTCTAACTTAGGCTGCCTACACTTAATTAAGTAGTAGCCTTACGTTTAAAAGGGATGAGTGCGTCTTATTATACAAATGGTGACACACTTACTGCATGTAACACTGATACGACTCCGTAGGAAAATAATATAACTCAGTACTCACTGCAGTGAGTGACAGAGAGCGCCTTTTTTCATCGTAGAAAACGTGAAGTCACGGACGGACGGACGGACAGACAGACGGACGGACATGGCGAGCACAATAGCGCCGTTTTTCCATAAATGAGAAAATGCGCTAAAAAGATGCCTTGCTATTTGGACAATAATTCATTACATTTTCTGAGTGTTGTAATAGCCATGATGAAGTCTTTTTTAATTAGGCCAATTCTGGCATATCGCTGATTCGATATATCCAATATTTTTTACGGCTAGTTTGCTTTTGAACTAGCAAATAACTCAACTTTAATAGATCGGTCAACCTGCTGTCTTTGGGAGGGCTAATCCTTCAGATTTTTTCTGTTACTTGAAATATTGAAGTGCAAGGGTTTCAAATATTTTGCCACTAAACCTTATCGGAACGACGAATTGTTGTAGGAACGACGTAATTTAGGCTTGTTCGAAAACGAAACGAAAGGAAAACGTGCTGTGGTCAGTACAGTGGTTTTCTGTTGGCTTGTTACGACCCTGAATAATGAAGAATTTTAATGGATCTGCAAGGTAAATATTTTCATAGATTCGTATTATAATTTGCAGGATTACGTTAGTATTTTAATTGATTTTTCATCGTTATTATGTCTTTGATGTTTGAATTTGACGATATTTTTGGAGGTATTAATTGATTCAAGTTAAGGATGGATTCATGTATGTTTAAGTAAGATAACTTTGATAATTTGTATCTGGAGCTCTGCCGATTGATACTGGCTACATCGATGAGAGTTTATCGCAATATTCTGCGTTTTTCAAGGATCATTGCATTGACAGTTCGAAGCCATACTACAGGTGAGATCCGAGGCCATGCAGCCGAAAGACCAGTATTCTTGTGATGCCAAAACTCACCTCCTATGACGTGAACGCCAAGTGTTAAATGAGCTACTCATCTTGATTGCCTCTTAATTTTCATATTTATCAAGACAATTTTCTGTACCCAATTTATCTAACCATATGCTTGATTAGGGAAACTTATGTTTATACCCTCCGTCGTGTTTATCTTATCTCATATTTAACACTGACTGAAAACTAATGACTATTGACTCGGAGCCCGACCAGTGGTTTGACGCCGAGTTACGTCATCATATCAGCACTTACGCCACTCGTAAGTCGATTTTGAGTACTTACGAAGTTTTGATAATACGGCCCCAGGTGTGGTAAATCAAGTTGCAGATTTGTCCGTGTCGCCCGTGCACACGGCAGCGGCAGGCGTCGTGGACCCTGAGAAGGGCATATTGCTGCGCTTACCGCGCTTCATACGCGTCAGGGACAAGTCTCCTGAGCTTGCATTCTCTGCACTGCTGGTTAGTTTTGCTGCAAGTTTGCTCAGTACTGAATTGCTGAGTAAAATAAATGTATTTCTATTTGAATTACTAAATAAAAATTTAATTTGATAGATTAACGTTGTTTCACGAATTTTGCTCTTCTGGGGTAATTAAAAGACTAAAGAATCCATACAACATTGAGTGTTAGAATTAGGTTAAACCATATTTCTCAGTGTGATTCCAGGATGTGTGAATCCATCACTAAAATTTGATTCTATTTTCGTAACGAAATATTTAAGAGTGCGGCGTCGTTAGTGAACTCCATCCCTTCAAGTTCGTCTGTGCTGTTAAATGCGGGAACAAGTTTCTTGTACTCACCCATTCTATGCCTATGAATTTAGTATCATTTATTTCCTGAATTTGGAACAGAATTATAACGAGTAATGGAGGAAGAAGTTTGAGTGGCAAATAAATTTTAATTTTCCCTGGAAGTTTTGAATTTTTAAAACTTTTTAAACATGAATAATTGTCGTTTTATCAACAGATTGTAGACATGTACAACAGCCAAGACCAGATCAAAAACAGCGCAGCGGAAGTCAAGAATAGCGCGGAAGACTTCTATTGATTGAGGGCTCAGAAGCACGTGTTGTTTAATACATGCAAGTTGCATCCCTACATGCAATACATCCCTAAGATGTATCAATTATTCATATTCGATATCATAGATTTTAATAGGTTAGTAAGGCTTTCCTAAAGATTTTTAGCTCGTATGAACAAAAAAATATTTGTTTGGCACTTATCATTTGTATTCACAGTATCCAAAATTGCGAAAAAATCTAATGAACGTTCAATAAAGATCGTTGTTTCAGAAAGCGGGCGTTGGCAATTAAATTGAATTATTAATGACAATTTCAATTGAGAAGGTAAATGATTTCTAACATTCTACGGCATTAATGGTTGATATGAAGGGACAAAATAACGTATCTGCACAGGTGCAGAAAAATAAAAAATACAAAGATGAATAATGATAAATAACAAATAAAGGAAGATATGAACCGTTCAACCGCATATTAGGACACGACGGTGGTTAGGAGACACATATGTTAGACTCGCTTATTTTATACACATTCGAGCTCATTTTATACACACTCCAGTCACAATCATGAGCAGGGACACGTATAAATGTTACTGCAGAATATTTGAAGGTTAACTTTTATGAATTAGGACATTATAATCACAGCAGGGTAAACATGAAACGCTACGTCGACTAGCTTGAAAACTCGTTCATATCGGGAATCTCACTTGGATATATATTATATATTATATATATCCCAGGATATATATATATATATATTATATATGTATATATTATGACGTGATGATGGCACCTACAATATCTGCTCAACAAAGCAATATTGCGCATATGTTGACAAAGGATGTAATTCTTCTTCATTACATACAATTTGAAAATTATCGCTTAAAACTATTTTCTAATCTACATTGGTAAAAAAAATTATTACGGAGAAAATATTATTCAGGTTATAATAACACGGATTTTTGTAACGCTCGAGCATTTCGGTCAATTATCTAAAAATCCTTTGTAATCGCTTACGTTTTTTTTAAACGATGTTGCGAGGGCTTGGAAACGCTTGGATACATTGCAGTCATTTGGAATTAAGATGGGAGTGACATAATCCGAGCACGTTTTTCGGTTCATCTACCGCGATTTGGTGAAAAAACTAGAAGTTGGCCGCTAAAAACGGAAGAACGTATATACGGGAGCTCGGACATAACAAATTTCGCGTTAATCCGTCAGACTAAGGAAGTTTAAAACTTTTGGTCATACTCAACTCAAAAGAAAAATTTGTAAACCTTTAAATTTTTCTATTTAAGTAATAATTGACTGAAACAGCCTGCCTTGAACTTCTTTTGGAAGCTCAAAATGTTCTCGACTCAAAAATCATGTTCCGACAAGAATGCAGGCAATCGCACCTTATGATAGCAGTTGAAGTTTGCAATGGCTCTATTTTACTATTGCTTTGGATACGTGTTTTAATATAATAATTCTATATAAACAAAACATTGAACGCAGCTGAACAAATGGAATTTGGTAGCTACCGGCTTTTGATCAGTAGAAGAAGCCCGCGCCGGTAATTGCAATGATGTGGCCGCGGCCTCGGAGCTTCAGCCTCGCGCCAGCAGTTGCAATGATGTGGCCGCGGCCTTGGAGCTTCAGCCTCGCGCCAGCAGTTGCAATGATGTGGCCGCGGCCTTGGAGCTTCAGCCTCGTCGGCCTCGGAGCTTTAGCCTCGCGCCGGCAGTTGCAATGATGTGGCCGCGGCCTCGGAGCTTTAGCCTCGCGCCGGCAGTTGCAATGATGTGGCCACGGCCTCGGAGCTTTAGCCTCGCGCCGGCAGTTGCAATGATGTGGCCGCGGCCTTGGAGCTTCAGCCTGCATGGCGCCGGTAGTTGCAATGCTGTGGCCGCGGCCTCGTAGCTTCAGCCTCGCGCCGGCAGTTACAATGATGTGGCCGCGGCCTCGGAGCTTTAGCCTCGCGCCGGCAGTTGCAATGATGTGGCCGCGGCCTTGGAGCTTCAGCCTGCATGGCGCCGGTAGTTGCAATGATGTGGCCGCGGCCTCGTAGCTTCAGCCTCGCGCCGGCAGTTACAATGATGGGCATAGAAGCGTCGGCGGTAAGTTCACTGAGGCTTTCTCTTTCTCACTGAGCGCTAAAAGTAGCTTTTAATTACGCGCTACGGCTGGCTGAGGGGCGTTTTAGACGCCTTCGGCAACTCGTTTTGGGACAAGCCGGGATAGTCACTTTGGTGCGTAGTTTCTACGCACCGATTAGTTTCAGAGTGGCCGCGGCCTCGGAGCTTCAGCCTCGCGCCGGCAGTTGCAATGATGTGGCCGCGGCCTTGGAGTTTCAGTCAATGTTGTGTCCGCGGCTTTGGAGCTTCACTCAGTGATGTGGCCGAGGCCTTGGATTTTCAGTCAGTATCTTTCGGGCACCTCAGGTTTGAGTGCCGCTTTCAGCGAAGGGACGAAGTCGGGATGCAGTCGCCCGGCGTTGGGACCTGAGACTGGAGTGTGCAGCGCGCTCTTGACGCGCGTCAGGATTGGCTGCAGCAGTAAGTGTCCCGCGTTCAAGATTGTCGCTACTATTTTGAAACTCCTGCAGGATCATGGTTAACATTAAAAACAGGTGTTAATATTTACTTGTATTCATTTTATTCACTCCACGTACCTACATCAGTTTCACGATTGTTATACTCTTTGAGGATAAATCAACTAAAAAAAATTGTGGAAAATATGAAATGAAAAAAAACAATAAATAATTTATTTATAACTAATCATTTTTAACTGTTGTGCACACATGGAATCACGATAGTTATACTCTTTGAGGATAAATCAACTAAATAGTGGAAATTGTGACGTGAAAAAGCAATCAGTCATTTATTTATAAGTAATTATTTTTAACTGTATGGCACACATGGAGGCTGGGAGGTAAAAAACGTGTGCCATGCCATAGCATGTGCTGCTAAATATTCGAGTTACAGTGTAAATCCTGCAGCATTAATATCGTGGGATGTAGCTAAGTGACTAATAACTGAAATTTAGGACAAATTGAAAATGTAATTGCTCGTAAAAAGATTGAAACAGATTAACGTGTACTCACCCAGCTGGTTTCTTAGGTACATTTGTGTCCACTTCCCCTAAGGATTTATTTGAACCAATATGGACACGGACCTCCTTAAACGTTACTGGTCTAATGTTGCGCTGCGGCCTGCAGAGTTGTTATAAATGAGTACAGAATGAGTACATAAAAATAGCGGAACTGAAAAATTCATTCAGATGACTGCTCACTGCTTCATTGTGTTTAAAGTGATACAACAGTAACGGATTTAAATTATACGGACAATTGGGTATAGTTGCAAGAGACTAATGTAACCAGAAATTTGTGGCATCTTGTAAGAAATAAGGAATTCTCACCTAAATATTATAATGTAAATCTTGGGGAAGAATAGTAGGATGAGAGTGACGAGTGCACTAAGCGACGTACAGACGCTCATGCAGATAATCTTGTGGTTGCTGCCGAAGTAGATCGAAACCCACGCTAGCTTTGAATTAAACAACAATAAATTCATTCGTTATGCACAAGTAGAATTTGATCAAAATGTGGGATCTCACTAGGTTTAGTTAAAAGGATTGCTACGAATAAAGGTTTTACTAGAATAACTAAATTCTCCGAAATAACTAAATTCCATTTCTTTAGTCTTAACATTAGAGGGAGGCCACAAAATGAGGACATATATTAGTACAAAGAATAAATTATATTTCCTAATGCAAATCAGATGAAAACAACCATTACTACATTGAACAAAACTGGAATAGTTTTCACAAATCAGATTTTACTCATACAGATGCTAATGGCAGCCCTGGATAAGATTACCTTTTATTTCTCAACTATCATCTCATGGCATTTTAACATGATTAATCCTTTTTTCAGTTCTTATTTGATGAGAGCCGATAGCTGACATATTTATTATTGCAATTAGCACAACATCCAATACGACGAGGATTATAAGCTGAATCAATTTCATTACCATCAGTTTCTCACCACAGTTTCTTTGCATAGATACATTTGCTTTGTCTTAAAAATTCCTTATTTCGAAATTCAAGACAAAATGAAATTAATATATTTTGAAACGTTCACACTCTGACATACGATGAAACGTTCACTTAGCTTAGAAGACGTGGAATTTTGATAAATTCAAAAAGATTGATAACAGAGTTTTTTCGTCAGAGTTTTGCTTTCAAAATCAGAATAATTCAACTCAATTATTCTTCGAATATCTAATCATATAATAATTGATAGTCGAGAAGGCGTTCGATCTGATAGCCTCTTACTGAGAAAATGAATTAGAGAAAACCATTCGTTTGTTTCTTACATATTGACTGCTATGCGTCGTGATGACAAGACGCTACCTCCTTAGAATAGGAAAATTACCGTTGAATTTTCCTTACAGGTTATATAAATAGTTTAAACTACATTTATATGGTTGCAGGTCACAAGCAAATTAAAATATTCAAATGAGAGAAGTTCATATCAAATTTGGATGGAGTATTTTTTCTATTATTAGAGAAGGAACACACTTTAGATGACGTGAATATGCAATGTAATTTGCTAGCAGAAATTGACGCCGGATTTTGCAGTCACTAGGTTACAGTTAAACTTAATCCACATATTTGTGGTGTCAGGGCCAACTTATTCTCTATGCTCCAGCTGAAACGGGGCATCTAAGGTCATACAGAAAAGTTTAAAACGTCTTGAGTTATAAGGTGCTCTGGAAAGTGTGATAAAGAAATTCTTAAGAAAACGAGTTAGTGCATTACTTGATAACGAACTGTCGAATCATCAATGTGCAAAATGGGTTAGCTAGATGACTGGGTATTTTAAAGGATCAATTAATTTTCAGAAATTACATGTTGTTGATGTTAATCGGTGTGGACGAAACAGGATCCTTCGTTAGATGAAAAATATAATAATGAAGGTATAAAATTAGGAAAAAATTAAAAATGTTATCGCATTTTCTTCTTCAACGCATGAATAATTCATTCTGTGCTCACCATTTCATTCACTTTTCGCACGGGAGGGGGCCCAAATGTATTTAGCTAGCTTGTGTACAATTCTCATGTTTGTATTATAATAAACTTCAACATAGAAAAATGACGCAGTATGACGAAGGCACTCACCCATATCACGCAAGTCGTGTACATGGAGAAACCAATGAACTTTGCTTCATTGAAATTCTCAGGCAAGTTTCGGGTCTTGACGGCGTAAAGCGTGCACATCATCACAAGAATGAAGTCCCAGGCCAGAGGAGCCGTGATGCTTAGAGTGGACGTGTTGCATTCCAGCGTCACCTTTCATTCCAGAACAACGAGTAAGTAACAAGAAAATTTAGATCCAGAATCACCTCTCATAAGAAAATAACGAGTAAGTAACAACAGAATTTACAGTAATAGAAAATATCAATAAAAACAACTCATAGCACAAACCAATAAATTAACCCGGACCAATGAAATTGCTTTGATTATTATTTGTGCTAAATACAAAATTTTGTTAGCAAGATATTCAATGGAATAGAATTCTCGTTTTAGAGGCGAGTCAACGCAAGACGTTCGCATTCGACGACACAAGTTCGTATGCTTTCGGTCATCATTAGTTAGAAGCACGCAATATTCATAAATTAAACCAGTATTCTGTCTAAACGTAAATTAAATAGACATAAATGTTTAATCAAGGTTCGTTCTGCTTACCCGATCGCGCACTTGTTGTCGCACGGTCCCAGGAGGCTCCAAAATAAACATAGCGGCGATGATGAAGATTTCGACGGAGATCAAGATGAGTGTTATCACCACCTGCAAGTCGGAAACTGTAACGCTTTGTGGTAATTATGTTCTCTTTAAATATGACTGTCCAGCGTGGTTTTCAATTGAAACAAGCCATATTTGAATGCTAACCAGAAAATAAACTAACTATAGACATTCAGGTCCAGACACAAGCCGTTGTGAGAAGATATCTCACAAAACTTGATGTTCGACGCGAAAAAAAAACACAATAATAACGTACTTGGGCAACGGCTGACACAAATCTCGATTTATGGACCATAAACTTCTTGCTGTCGGCAAAAATGCGAGCAATTCTGTTGGTTTTTGTCACTAACGCCGCGTAGATCATGGAGAACGAAAGGCCGGGCAGGAGGCGAGCCAAGATGCAAGAGGTCGTCGACGGCTTGGCCAGGAATGCGATGGATGAGCAGTACGACATCATCATGCCCACCAAAATTATGTACGACAGCTCGCGCGTCGATGCCTGACGAGAACACACGAGTACATCATTTGGGTTCAGTGGAGCAAGTGACTGATACAGACAGGTTTCACACAAGAAGCAATGTTGGCCAATACTTGGTTCCAATCTGACATCAATTAATAGTAAATGTAGAAAAAATTTCAATGTAATACTTAGAAATGTTTCGTTATTGTTTTTTTATATTCTCATCTACCCTATATATCTGAACAATAGACAATTTGAGAGCTTCTGTAATAATTATTAGCATCCGGTTAATTGATGGGTGTATTAATATGACCAACCGCGATTAGTGTGATGTGTAGTGATTCACTAGTATTATTAGAATGACAGTATTTTTTATAGACTTTAATGCCTTAATAATGTAAGTCACCTGTAAACCACCGGCAATGGACAAGTCAAATAGTCTAAAGTAAAAGTGAATGTAATCAGAATTGTAAGCCAGTTAATCATGGCCAGTCTTAATATTAATAATATCTGATAATTTTGGTTGATAAACAATTATCAGATATTAATAATATCTAATAATAGTTTAAGCACTTGTAATAACAAATTATTGTATTCTGTAATTCACGATAGCTCGAGAGTGTAGCATCAAATTTTCAACAAAGCTTGTGGCTCAGACGCACCACTCGACTTTTAATTTTATTACAAAAACGGGTTACGTTTTCGCTTCTGTGTCTTAGTAAAATTCCTAACCGCTGGGTGAGTTTTAAATTCACAAATTGTGTATGCATGTATAGTAGAGGTATATTCATGTTGTACTATAAAATCAAACGTTCAAGATACGCTAATAATAAATTAGATCCTGCTCAGGAATGGTACGTTGACCAACCTTAGCCTTAAGGGCTAGTTATGTGAGTAAAATTTGACCCTGTTTAGTGAAACCAAATGAAGTTTAAGTATTAAATCGAAGTGACTCGAATTTATGTCTCGCGCTGTTCTCACTCGTGAATTTCGTAATTAATTTTATGAAACCTTCAAACTCGGTGATCATAAATCTCAGTGACTATATGTAACTTTATTAACCCAAATTTGCCTGCTTATTTCGGATTTCATCAATTTCACTGTTTAAATAAGTACAAAAATATTCAGTCAGTAAATCATATGACATTCTTTGTCTAGAGGGGAGTTTTCAGTGAAACTATTGTAGGATTTTATGAGAGAAATTGTCAGTAGCTAAATGTTAGTGGATTAAATCTCAAATCCTTGAGGAATCATCTTTGTTGATTAGTGAATTTAATATAAAATCCCAATAGTAAATTTCTAAATAGTAAATTGTTGGACAACAATTATTCTGTTTTGCGTAACTAATGAATATCAAATTGAAAGAGCGATTCTTGTATAGTACGCAATCCATGTATGTACTAAATGTTTTCTTATTCATATCGTACATATCGTAAGTGTTTTCTTATTCATATCGCACCGTAGCTAGCATCTTAATAAATTGGTTTCCTGATCCTTCGGTTCATTTTGAATAATTGATTCAGGGACCAGCGAATACCAATATATAGTAGGTATATCCTGCGAGTAATTTAGCATTGCATTCAACTAATGTAGAAGGTTTTACAGGTCTCGCCCATACATGAAGAACATCTCACATATTCCTTTCCTGTATTTTACATGTGGTTCGCTTGTTTCGACTCGACGTCTTACGTACGCTGCCCAGTCTGTATTTCCTGGCCCTCTTATTATTTACCTACAATAATAAATTTTTCATTCAATCTGCGTCAATCATTCATTCACAATTAATTCATCCTGCGTTTGCTTACTCAATTTCTCTGGACCTTTCCAACCTCCAAATTTGTCACCCAAAACTTTCTTAAATCGGTTACCAACTGCACTAAAGTTGAAAGACCGTTCTGGTCCAGTTAAAGTAGAATATTTAACACAACATGACAAATAAGGTTAAATTCGTCATGCTACCTTGACGACTGGAGTGTGGTTGTAGCAGATAAAGACAGCCATCGTGAAAACGGTCGTCAAAAATCCCAGCGCAGCCAAAACCAAGCCAACAATGACCTGGTCGTCATCCCAAGAGGGATGCTCAACCATGATCTCGTCGCAGCCTGCAGGTTAACCAATGTATGGTAATTAGTATATTATTCAAGTGATCAGTCATAAAACATTAATGGACTGATAGTCCTTGCTTACTATCACAAAGATTGCGAAGTGAACTATGAGTGAAGTTTAGTCGTGTTAAATTCTTCCAAACTTTTTTAAAATATTCTGATCATTCGTTTGGTATACTTTCTTACCCACTATCTGATTCTTACCTACTATTCTTTGATAGTCCTCCAGAAAAAAACCATAATTTCTAAACCGAACACAATTCCCTTGCATCAGCTCTCGGCGGCTTAAATTAACATTCTGTCCGCATCTGACAGTCTATATCACCGATGCAAGTGCAGAGCATCATGCCGGTCGTTCAAGGTCTTACGAAAACGCACTGAACAACTGGGGCGCCGATCATACGCTAGCCAAGCTTCGAGGTCAGTGTTTAGTCGTGATCTATTTCCATCATCAAACCCACCCATAAACTTTTATGTATTCTCTAAATTCGCTGAATTTTATTCGGATACTCTAGGGTTTCGTGTCTGCTGCCAATATATAACTCTTCGGTACAGGGCAATGGATGTTTATAACCAAATGTGAACAAAAGGGTTGGTTGTTATAGTTCCTAATGTTGTTATACGCGTATGTACTGTTATAATTTTGCGTAATGCCGGCCATTAACATACCGGTTTTGTTGACATTTGGCCAGTAGTAAGGCTGGCACTCGGAGCACGTAGTTTCATTGAACAGATACTCGGAGTCTTCGCATTCGAGACACGTCCAACAGCACGTCTTGATCTTCTCTCCGATTGATGGGAAATACTGCGACGAATAACAAATTAAAATGAGGAAGCTGTCTTTATAGAAAATCGCGTGTCTGCGAACGTTCCTAGGTAAAGCCGAATATTAAAAACGTGTCTGCTTGCTTGATTAACATGGAATCAAATGTAACCTTTTAGCGATTAAAAAAGTTGGTGCTGTACGAGTGTTTGCTTTACACCGTTGTATCAGCAAAGTGGTTCTTTACGTTGTAGTAATAATTTTGTTCAATGCATTGAGTAATTAAAAAAATATAACTCAGTCCTCACTGCAGTGAGTGACAGAGAGCGCATTTTTCCCGTCGACGAAAACATGAAGTCACGGACGGACAGACGGACGGACAGACGGACATGGCGAGCACACTAGTGCATTTTTTCACAAATTAGAAAATGCGCTAAAAATTCGCTAGCTAAACAAGAACGCTAGAAGAACAATGACAATGAGGTACGTCCGACAAGATCGGGACTACAGCCGCATCGACCGCGGCCCCGCAAAAAGAACTTAAGTGAACGTGTGTCCTCGCGTTGACTTGAAATGCTGGCCTAACCCCTAAGAGTCTTCAAAGGACACATGTCGTTACAGTTCAATGTATTAATTCAAGAAGCCGTATGATATACAATGTAGGTTACGATGACTAATACAAGTTGACAAAGATGAGTAATAATGATGTTAGTCTATGATTACAAATTCCATATTCTCTTTTTGGACTCAGATGTTGATAAACTTGATGTTTATATCACAAAATATTTTCTGCACCCGAAATATATCACAATCACAGAGGCACGTAACGTATGATGGATCATCTGACTATTGCAGTAACATCTTGGGAGGACGAATTAGACTAATAACATAACATAACATAACATAGTGATATGTCGGCGCTGAAGCGTAGGCCTGGTGTGGCCTGTCGCCGATTCTTTTCCTTTTCGTGCCTTGTTGAACGGAATCAAACTTAAACTTGACTAATTTAGAAGAGTCTGGTTTGCTGCCTTAGTCTTCTGCTCATCTACTTCGATTAAATTCGTAGCGTTGGTTCAACGTCACGTAAAAAGTTAATGAGATGAGCAGTCGAAGGCTCGACTAGCGGCTAGCTGCTGTCTTGACTTCATTGTCGGTTAATGGCGAAATGAGTGGATGTTTGATTGTTTATGTTTCGGGACTACATTGCATGGAGTATCATCTGGCCTGAGAGGACTCTATGAGTTGAAGTAATGCATCGTTCAAAGAGAACTGCCATGTTATAAAAGATGTACTAAGACAAGTTGCAATTTATGATGAAATAAATTTCAAGTCGGATGGGACTTTGACGTTTGAACATCTTTTCCGCCCCCCTCTCATCTCCCATTTTCCGCCCCCCCCCCTCAAAAAATGGTAATAGCAAACATTAGTTAAAAACGCTTAATTCATTTCTCCACGAGTTTGGTAAAATCAACAGCTTAAAGTAAAAGTATCGTTGTTTTTACTGATGTGACGACCTAGATCAGAATCGCCAAATTAAGAGCAACACGGTTATGAAATTAATCTAGAAAAACTTGAAAATTGAGAAGATTCTGACTGAAAGTTATGCCTACTTTTTGCAAGCCATTATGCATTCACCTGATGAAATCTCGGATGATCGTTGTAATTTTTCTAGGATTAAAATATGACAGATATAATGCTACAAATTATATGAAATATAAATAAAATCAGTTCACCTTGGCTTTACCAGCGGCACAAGGACTGGAACACACAGACGTTGGTGGTAGGCCGTTGAGGCTGTTGAACTTGACGGTTTCTTGCTGCATTTCGAGAGAGCCGTTATCCCAAGTGCCGATCCTCACGTATCCGTACGAGCCGTTGTTGAAGCGTTGGAAATTCAATATTTCGTATCTGTAAACCAAACGAGAGATACTCAATTTCTTCTGTCAAGCAAACAGAGTACTTCTTGTTTAATTCATATAATGAACCAATATAACATATTGTATGTACTATTTTAGGAAGTCATCTGATTGTGCAAAGCGTCATGAATATTGAAGCGAAAAATGAATAAAGACTGACCTGCCTGGGGGGTCTCCGTTAGAATCAAACGAAACCGTCTCGTTGAGGAATTGATATGTTACGTTCATCAAGTGAGTCTGTAAATAACCAAAAACTGAATTTAATTAGAATAGTTTGAATTTAAATCGCTTAATTTAGATCACATTTCAGTTGGCTTTATTGCATCGAGAAATAACCCATTTGAACTGTGGCTGAGATATGGACCATCATAATGGAAATTAATGATACATTAATTTATTGATTTATGAATTCAATTCTGACAATTCATAATGTCACATTGGAATCTTTCTGGAGGGTTTTTTCATACCGTAGTGGTGATTGAAAAGATTACGGGTTCTCACGTGTCGCATCGTAGTTAATGTGTTCAACTCATTCATGAACTATAATCTTATGAAAAACAATCATCAAACTTCACAGTAAGGTTAGTAACATGACATCACGTATTAGACGGTGTGGAAATATTTTTTGAGTATGAACTTCCGTGCTTCATTTTTGAATTTTCCAAAACAAGCACGAGACTTGCACTATGCTTTAAGTTATTGTAGCAATATGAGAACCCTTCGGGTATGAACCAGTTTTCTCTCAGCGAAATTTTCGAAAAACTTTGTTTAAGCCCTTGGTGCAGCAACAATGATATAAGATATATGGTGTCATTCCTCATTAAGCATAACGATCAGGAAGAGAACGCAAAGCTTGGACGACAATTGAGTAAATACTTATAACTGCCATTTGACTCTCATGTCAAAATCGAACAAATTGTCTTGCCGGTTTTGAAGGAAACTGGTTTATTTAATGTAAGCATTTAGTCATTTATGCTACAAAATAGCGGGTATCCCGGCATTACGGATGTATAACTTTATTGCGGACCGGAACTTAATAGGGACGAGTTATTTTAGATATTAAGAGTTGACTTTACGATCTCATCCTCGTCGGAAGTATCCTTCTGATTCATGTTTCATTTGTAGATAATGATTGCTGCTGTAATAAAGAACTCGTGATCTATCTCCTGTGATGTGCCAAAGCTGATGTAGAGAACCCAAGCGAATTACTACATTTAATTATTAGCTCCCGCAATTTTTGAACTACTTTATCACGACCGATTACATTTAAATTTTTGATTAAATCGTCTCCTCAGTTTTGTATTGCTCTACTTTTTTCCAACTGAGAACAATATTTCGACCAGGTTTAGGGTATACCCCTTAACTAAGACAATCGCGGATACGAACTCGAACGGCCCCGGTACATGTGGTGCCATATTTGCGGTTAATAACACAAGCAAACTTCGATAAGTAAATACAAGATTGGTTAAGATATAACCAACAAACTCACGTAAAGAGGCTCAAAACAATGTATTTAATTTTAAATTTCGATGCGCTGAGGACAGAATAACATTTCATGAATTGCGAGACCCAATGTTAGTACTAACTGAGTGGTGCGAAGTGCTTCGAGGCGGGAAAAATTTATTTCGCAATCTATCATTCGGACTAACTACATTACCATAAATTGTGATCCGTTGATGGGCAGCATGTCAGGGCAGATGCCTTCAAAGGGACCGCACACCGCACGCTGCAGGTTGTGAAGACCGTGAGCCATGGTGTAGACGGCCTTCATCACGAACGGCAGAATTGCATCTTGATAATAACCATTGGACAAACTCTCGTTGCCTGTAATGTACAACTTTGTCGTGAATGTCATCTTCCCGTACAAGTGAACAAGCTATAGCAATAAATTGGATCTCTTGCTCAGGCTTGGTGCAAGATAGCAACTGGATTTTGTGTCGAAAGCATTGTAATAGATTTATTTTAATGAGTGAATTCTATTACCAAAATGAATGAGAGTTTTATTACCAGATTACAGAAAAAAATGCAATAAACGCATTTATTCATAAAGCCGGCGGCTCATAATATAATATAAAAATAATCAATAAATAATGTGGTAATTCTAAGCCGCTGGGCTTAGAAGTTAGAAGTTTCCAAGTTAATAACAAACTCCGAAGCAAAAACAGTTGAAAAGACCAGAGTCTCCAGAAGCTGTCGTATTCTCGAAAAGATCGCCCAAGCTACCGTGACCTTGTTTTTGCGCTATAAAACCACAAGAACAAAATTGCAAACATGCATTATATATGCTCTGAAATTTGAGTTATCATTTTTTTAGTACACATTGGACGAAAATAAAGTGTACATATGAAATGAATGAAGCATCCATATTTGGTGTTGGGCGGTGAACATTATTGGCATATTGTTGAAAATGCCACCTCTGCATGCCCACGCTCGACCAACACTCGCAACATCAGAGAGGTCCAAGTTGATACACCATTGTTGATTATACGGAATATTTATTGATGGTGAATTGTAATTTTTCGAGTGGTCATCTCTTGAACTACTGTTTATAAGTTAATTTTGAATTTGATTGCAGCGCATTGACTTTTAATAATATATGAAACTTCAGTTGTCAGTTGTTAATAATAATATGATGCTGAATGATTCAGTATAAATTCACTGACTTCAAAAGGAAATTTTTCTTAATTGTCAATTGAAATAAATTGAAATGGGACATGACGATTTATGAAAATTTCGGCAATTTAAAAATGTTCGAGCTTTATTTTTGGTTGAGTAACATGCAAGCATCGAAATTGCCCATGGATGCGAAAGAGGTATATGTAGGTTTCTCCTCTTTCAGAAAATGTGTAATGTGCATGGGTACAGTTGCTAAGTGGAGATCGAGCACATCATAGGATAGTAATTGGAGGTTCGAGACCTCACACGGTTTCTTATATTTTAATAAAAAGTTTTCTTTAATTTCACTGATAGAAGTGTTCACTTAAAGGTAATTAGTTATGTATGGGTGCAAAAATATGTTCGAAAAGGCACGTCACATTAGTAGCATATACAAAAGCTCGACAAACTCCGGGATCCCTCATTGGTGCTCCATCTATTCCATTTACCTGGTACAATGACTTCCATTGATAACCAATCGATGCTCGATCAATAATTTCGCCATAATAACTACACTTTCAATCTTTATGCGAAATATTGTTTTAGTAACGCTATGACAGGGACTCACCAGTGCACGGCGGCAAGCCTGCTAATGTCTCCTTGACCGGGAGTGAGCAGTTAAATTTGTGCTGCCAGAATTCTTCGAACCAAGGGTTCCTCGAGTTTTGCATGGGTTTCAAGGCAAAATAGTATTTATCAAAGTCCATTAAATACGGCTTTTTGATCCTGACTGAAATTCCGCCAGTGAAAATTTCTTCAAGCCCGTCGACAACGTCAGTCCGGTCTGCCCAGCCATCACTGAAAATGAGGAAGATTATTTATAAAACTAAATATTTGAAGAAATTAATTAGACAGAATAACATGTCTAACTACGACTTTTTCGAACCATAGAACTTAGTCACTTGACAATGAACTGAGGTTTTGAAATAATAGTCACAAATATTAATATTTTATTGAGAGGAGTAGATGCATCGACTCATTAAAAAATTAAGATCAAAGAACAGACATCGGAAAAGAATGCCGGACTCACAGCGTAAATTTGCTCAGTTGTTGTTTACAGATCCGATTCTGAGTTTCTGTTTAATAATACGGCGCGCAATAATTGAAATTTCGTTCAATAATTGAAAGAGGACGTCGTTAAGTGAGACAGAGTGATACATCATCCAGGAGGGAGATCATGCTCTCGAAAAGCAGAACCTTTGATTTGCGATTCAATCAGGAACGCTCGAATCATGTAAAAACAATAAAATAAACTTGGAGAGTGACAGACTGAAGACCTCAGTGTAACTTGAAGTGTCAGAGTGAAGTCAGTCCAAGTCTTGAAGTGAAGACTGAAGTCTGACGTGAAGTCTTCAGTAAGCAAAATCATATTCACCCAATACACTGACCTTCCAATGAAGAGGAATCTCGACGCCACGTTATACCGCTGAGCTGCCCGGTGGAGATTTCTCACGGTCATGCCATCACAGAAGCAGACCACGACGTTTGCTCGTTCCGCTTTAATTAGGTTTTTAATGACCTTGGAAACAAGAGAATAATTGTTACAAAGATAAGCTGCAGTACATTCTAAAATATGATTTACGTAGTAAATTGTTAAGAGCTTCCGAATAGGCACATATTTTAAGGCGGTCAATGACTGAACGAATGAATGACTTCTCCACAAATTGGGCAAACATGAAGTAATTAGTTTTAATAAATGGTTACATATTATTGGAATACAGTGAATATGTGAAGATGATAGTATGCAAAGTTGCCGAATGGTTAACTCACGTTATCAAAGGCAGGATCGTCGGCATTATAAGCCACTTTTTCTTCTTCAGCTATGCATATGTTCGATACTTCAGCAAGTGCATTGAACGCTGCCATGCCTCTCTGCCCGTAGTTGTCTGCGGGCATGAGAAATCAGGCAATTAACGGCAAAATTAACGATATTCTTGAGCAGTTTAAAATTATGGAAATTTTGTGGTGAAAATTCGAAATTTCTTTCGAAATTCTTTAGAAGCGATCATTTAAATTCAAGAGCAAAACGTCCTTAATGTAAAAATATGAGCATCTTCTAGCAAGGAAGACATAATAAATGACAAACAGTATTGTAGCGAATATTATTTGCGCACACCTTGACTGATATGAGCGTCGTGGTTTCATTTGCATAAGTTCACGAATAGAAAAAGAGCCTGTAGCAATTATATTTACTAGTTCCTTTATACGTAACTAGCGAGTTAGCAGTATGGTTCTCACACGAACACATGTAGATTTTAAATATTAAAATCATCAGTTCAACTCAAAATAGGAATAAAAAAAATCGGCGCGATAGAATACGATAAAAATAAACGATACTTAACAAACAAACATGAGGGCTAACGAAGTAAACTCTTACCATAATTTCTGACAAATTAGCAAAAGAATCGATGGGGCTTGTGGGCTTTGTTTATAGATCAATTCATAATTACTTGGATTACTACTACCATTAAGCCAAGTTTCATAAGGAATCAAGTACTGTCATGGTGTTGTTTATTTTCCCAAAAACAGCTCTGTTTCAAAATAATTTCAACAGCGGCTTAACCTTGCTGAAGATTTTTAAAGAATATATTGAAGTAAATTTGAGCAAACCTATAAGATAACATTATTATCACGATAATGGTCCGATATATTTTTTGTTTTTAATTTTAATCCCTTGGGAAAATTAAAAAAAATATTAGTGTTTGAGGTAGACAAGCTCACGCGTTTTTTGTTCAGCTAGTTATTTTTAAAGCAGTATATTTTTATGCGGAAATTCTATGTATCCTACTTGGCATTATTCTTAATCAAGAACAAATGATTTGGGCCGATAGAAAACAATTAAGTCAATTATGGGCAATGCAATCACAAACGTTATTGGCCGAGGTGAGTAGAGTGGAGTCCGAAATAACATAGCGAGCTCCCTATCAGTGTAGACCGTCGAGACATATGTCCAGTTGTCATGGTGAATGATTAGTGAACAGATGATAACTAGTGCTCACCATCAGTGTAGACCGCCGAGACATACGTCCAGTTGTCATGGTGAACGATTAGTGAACAGAAGATAACTATCGCTCACCATCAGTGTAGACCGTCGAGACGTATGTCCAGTTGTCATGGTGAACAATAAGTGAACAGAAGATAACTATCGCTCACCATCAGTGTAGACCGTCGAGACGTATGTCCAGTTGTAATAGTGAACGATAAGTGAACAGAAGATAACTAGTGCTCACCATCAGTGTAAACCGTCGAGACGTATGTCCAGTTGTAATAGCGAACGATGTCAACCATGACCTGGGCTTGGTAGTAATCCGATGGAACCACTCGCAGGAAATCGGAAAATCGAGTTTTATCGCTCAAATCCAAAGAAGTCGCCGAGTAGCCAACTTGCGGGATATTGAATAACTTTAGTAGATTTTGAACCTGCAAGCACAATAATTCTCTTGGTAAAAAATGCTATTTTTATGCTGGAATAATAATTATTAATCCAATATAGCAAAGTTAGAAGAAATATTTCGAAATCAAAATACACCGGAATGCTTCTTAACGAAACAGAGTATCTTCTATCAGTACATTAATTGCAAAACAAAACAATCTATTCATAATAATCAACATACATTATTTCTTATTCTGTTGAGGAAAACCAAACGTGAAAGCAAAACGCAAAACCAGTTATTTCTAAATTCAAGAAGTGTTCTCTAAATTTATCAGAACGCGAATGCTCTCAGGTGCCATAAAATAAAAATTTTGGAGCCTCAAACCTGTATCGTCGCGTCGGAAGACCCCGGGCCGACGACCCCGACGATGTTTTTCGTGCGGTTCGGGCGGATGAAGTCCCTGGAGTCGTCGAGCCCGCCGCCGCCTTCGTTGCTGTCCGAGTCTGATAAGGCATCGCGGATGAATTCTGGAGAGGACGATATCGATAAGAATCATTTGAGGGCATTGCAATCATAAATGTTTATTAATTTATAGAATTACGACTGCTGGTGCAGAGAAAAACATCAAACCTTACTGAGGGAGATCGTATATTAACTGTGCATGCGGAATGAATGTAGTCAACATGTAACTGATTACAAGAATTTTGAGCTTGTTATTATTTATTCAATTGATATTATATATGACATTAATTTAAAAATTGTGAAACGGAATTTATCTCTGGAATCAAGTTTCTAATGTGTTTAAAACCTTCGTATCACTTCATACTATAGTGCCCAACTGAAACAAATGGTCAGTCTGTAAAACCTTCGTACCACTTCATACTATAGTGCCCAACTGAAACAAATGGTCACTCTTTAAAACCTTCGTATCGCTTCATAATATAGTGCCCAACTGAAACAAATGGTCACTCTTTAAAACCTTCGTATCACTTCATACTGTAATTCCCAACTGAAACAAATAGTCACTCTTTCAAACCTTCACATCACTTCATACTATAGTGCCCAACTGAAACATATTGTCACTCTTTAAACCTTCGTATCACTTCATGCTATAGTGCCCAACTGAAACAAATGGTCACTCTTTAAAACCTTCGTATCACTTCATACTGTAATGCCCAACTGAAACAAATAGTCACTCTTTCAAACCTTCACATCACTTCATACTATAGTGCCCAACTGAAACATATTGTCACTCTTACACCTTCGTATCACTTCATGCTATAGTGCCCAACTGAAACATATTATCACTCTTTAAAACCTTCGTATCACTTCATACTATAATGCCCAACTAAAACTAATGGTCACTCATTAAAACCTTCGTATCGCTTCATACTATATAGTGCCCAACTGAAACAAATGGTCAATCTTTAAAACCTTCGTATCGCTTCATACAATAATGCCCAACTGAAACTAATGGTCACTCATTAAGACCTTCGTATCGCTTCATACTATAGTGCCCAACTGAAAAAATTGTCACTCTTTAAAACAATCGTATCACTTCATACTATACTGCCCAACTGAAACATATTATCACTCTTTCAAACCTTCACATCACTTCATACTATAGTGCCCAACTGAAACATATTGTCACTCTTAAACCTTCGTATCACTTCATGCTATAGTGCCCAACTGAAACATATTATCACTCTTTAAGACCTTCGCATCACTTCATACTATAGTGCCCAACTGAAATTGTCACTATTTAATTTAAAACCTTTGTAGCCCTTCATACTCTAGTGCCCAACTGAAACAAATGGCCACTGCAGTTGACTGCAGGGGTAACTGACCCAAGCTCTGCTCGAGGGCGATGGAAGAGCACCAGCAGGTGTCCCTGATCTCGAGTCCCAGGGTGATGTTGGGCAGCAGGTCGGGGTTGCGGTTGATCTCGTCAACCGCGAGGAACGCGGCCTCGACGCGCTGGATGCCGTAGTGCTCTCGAATCTTGTAGGAAATAAAGTGCATTGATAAAATTGGCTATTTGGTCTCAGTGAAAATAGGAAAAATGAATAATTGGCAGTTTGTACGTGGCTCAATCGCAATTTATGAATTTAACGTAAGTTGTTTTGTAAATACGCGTGCCAACGCAGTTGGCCTAATATAATTGATTCAGTTGTGATAATTAATTTGTCAAGTATTCAAGGTATTTTAAGCTGATTATAGAGCTGAACTCCAAAACTTTTTCGATGAATACGTAGATGGCGATTTGTGTGGAATTTTCTTAACTTAATTATTTTATGAAATTTTTTTGTGCAGGCGGACTGTGGTTAGATTATACAAGAGGTGTCAAGAAACACCCTTTAAAGGGAGCACCCTTTAAGTTTTTTTTATTCTCATTTTTAGAGAGAACCATTTCGCATTGAATGAAGAAGACCCCAGGGCTCTAGCTCTTTTCGGTTTTTCGAGAAAGATTTTCGAAACTCATGAAATAAACAGTTTTTAATAATTTTATAATGATGTATTTAATTAAAAATGATCATTCTCTCTAGCGATCATCCTGTCACTTTTTCTGCCCTTTTTGTTTGTATTATAGATTGAAAAATGGGGGTGGAGGCCAAAGTCGACAGAAATAAAAAAAAAACTAAAAAATTTTTGGAAAAAATGACAGGATAACCGCTAGATATGGTCTTTGCGAATCGAATGATATTTCTCTCGATGATGTAGCACGTTAATTGAATGAGGAGATACAGTACGCTTTTTTTCGCTGTTTCCATGCTCTCACGTTTTCTTTTATTTTCATTTGAAAAATTTACATGAACAAATAAGTCTTAAATTTCTATTTTACATATGGTGTACCAAGTTTCAAAGTGATGCGTCTGTAAATAAAAAAGTTTTTTTAGGTGTACATGCTCCCCTCCAACTCGGCCCGATGATTCAACGAAAATGAACAAACTGTGGGTGTATTCGACGAAATTTTAATTTCAACATGTTTTAATACATTTAAGTAATTATGCATTTTAAAAAATTATTTAAAATCCCGTTTACTGTGTTGAAGTAGCAATTGTTGAATTAAGATGAAGGTATTGTGCAAGAAATTTTAACACAGTAGTGGAATGTTTTCACGCGTCGATACAAAGTATAGTCTATTAAGTCTTAAAAATAAACTTAAAAAGTATTAATTTATAGCTTTTGGATAATCTTTTGACCTTTTCAAAAGAAAATATTGAATATTAGGGACTATTTCTTGTTATATATGATTCTCTTGGATTCCATACTCGTGTAAATTATTTGATTTTCATGGGAGCTATTTTTCTCAGCGGTTTTTATAAGTAGACTTAATTTGCCAGTGAACATTACAATTTTTAGAAGACGAGAAGAGATGTAAGTGCCAATTTTTATACTTTACACGTACGCGTTGATGAGTGGCTTGCTGTGCAATGCCATGAACACCACTTTCAAATGAAATTAAGTGATCATTAAGATGCGTAATGGTATAATTTTTTATTTTAGCTTCATTTTAGAGTGAATCACTTCTCTTCATGAAATTGAGGCCGCTTTATTTAATTTTGTTATTTTTAATGTTATTGTTTTGCCGCTTTTGAGGTTTATATTTAAAACCCACCGCTCGAAGGTTAATTAGCTCGTTTAAAATATTATTTGATTTCTGCTAGACTTAGGATTGGGTCTCATCGCTCATTATCTAAGACGCAAGTCTGTTAATTAATTTTCTTGGCCTGTCTCTTTGGAACACTAATTGAAGACACTCACCTCTCCGCAAGTCTGCGCTCTGACCAGCTCCACTGGTGGATAGTGTAGTGGCACTAGAGCACCGATGAGGATGTCGCCTGGCAGCAGCGCTGTCTTCCTTTTGTTGTGCACGAAGCCGCTGCTCTTCAATGTCAGCGAAGAGACCACTAGCATCCACACCAGATTCTTGACGTATTTCTTAGTCATAGTGAATTTGAAGAGTCTTGGCTTTACTTTTACGCTGAGGTTAGGCACGAGTCACCAAAAATTTCTGGCCCTATAGAATACCCGTTTTTCAAAGACCGATTCAAATCTAGCAAATTATTTGAAAATATCATGCCAGTATTTGAAGAATTACGTCAAAATACAAACTGTAAAATTTCTATGTCAAAGAATGAAAGAAATGTCGAGAAAATTCGCTATAGTAGAAAATACAGGCAATGAATACAATTCGAAAATATGTATAATTAAATCTTTTTCGTTTATGAATTATTGACTTCCACGCACCTACAGACAGCAAAGATCCATTCAGTCACGGCGGTAAACTCTAATTATCTTAGTTAATTTCTCACAATCCACAATTTCCCACGTTTCTGTTATTTCTATACGAGTAGTGGGCACTTCATTCAAATAAAACTTTAATTCATGTCGGTTAGTCTACTGATCGAGGGCCGGGCAGGAAATATAGTGTAACTTTACGCAGTGTGTCTTGGTTTGTGAACGATATTATGCAAGATTCTTAGCTTTTATTACAGCACTTGACTGACTAGAGTGTTGTTAGCGTGATGCCATATGTTCTGAGGGCTGCACTGAACCGAGTCGTGTGAGGTGATGCGTCCGGGACCTGGGGTGGCTATGCAGACGCGGTATTACGTTCCGGTTCAGTAGTAACCGTTCCATAAAGGATCTTTATGAAACACTCACGGATCTTTCGGAAGACGGAAACATCTTCATCAATGTTTACACACTTTTTAAACACACTGAATGAAACGGCCACAGTATGTGGCACCATAAACTTTCCGGATGTCTCTTGGGGGGTGGTCAGTAGATATAGGATTCGTTAACGCTTATCCAGTGTGTTTTTGAAGGTGAAAGATGTTCTGTAAGGTTCTAAAGCTTCATTATAGTATTAGTGCCGGATGTCTCTTGGGGGTAGGGGTGGGGGCGGTCAGTAGATATAGGATTCGTTTACGCTTATCCAGTGTAATTTTGTGGGTGAAATATGTTCTGTAAAGTTCTAAAGCTTATAGAACTTTACAGTACAGTAAAGCTTATAGAACTTTACAGCTTATAGTATTAGTGTTGTAAGAATGTGACCGCGTGTGACTTGGAGAGAGCTGTACCGGGCCTAGTCAGGTGAGGTGGCGCGTCCAACGAACGAATGCCGATGTAAAATAGCACGACTCGAAACGTTCGCTACCTCCAGCTCCTTCTATGGCCTGCAGTACTGCAGCTAAACCCGCAGCAGGCTGACGCATCCATCGCTTATCATAGTCAACCACATCCAGGAGTTGCTGTTGTAGAGGAATAAAGGATAATTTTTATAGATGCCTTCAATATTGGTTTACTTTTCCCAAAATAAATGTTGTTGGATTGACCATTACGTGAGAATAGTAGCCTATTGTAGTATCATTCAATCTGTGCCACCAAAAGAACATTTGGGTTTCAACTAAAACATGACATTTTAAAGTAAGACCGAAATGACCGACCTTGAATTCATTCGTATGAATTTTAACCTGTACAGATTTATATGTTCGATATTTTTGCTAGATTTTATTTGCAGTAATAGACATGAACCATTCTGGCCGATCAGTATCAGGGAAACGTTTTTACGCAGAGACCTCCGAAGTCTCGACTTGCGATTTAAACACACACGCGAATTATTTTTCTTAGTAGCTGCAGTTTGGAGGTTTAATCTGCGGCTGTCTTTATTGTCTCGTTTGTGTTGAATCGCTAGTAGAGCGAAGAACCTTTCAGGATATTGCGGGCCATGATAAAGGACATGCGTTGCGCCCAATGCACACCGGCCCCGTAACAATGGTAAGGCAGTGGATCTCAAAGCAGGACATTCATGTCCTCGAATTAGATTCACCGGATGACCGTCTCACTCAAAACTGTATTCGAAATCCGTATAACTTAATCATCGCTTGTATTCTTTTTAACTTATTGTTGTCTTACGTTCTGCAATGATCAAGAAATCCTAAACTTCCTGTACGTGATCTTATTTTAAAGATGATAACAGGACAGACTTCGCTTGCTTTACTCACCACCATCACATATAAGTTACCGAAAGAGCAAGCTGTGCAGCACTGGATGCATGATCCAATCAAAGCGACGTAATTGCTTCAATTAAATGGAACAGCGTTCATTGTGATGAGGACACGCAGCTCCATTAGTAATTACTTTATAAACAGCAGCAACACATCCGTCAGGACGAAAAGAATATGCAGCATGAAAAACTTGAATGAATTATGTATAATATAGATTAACAGTGATTAAACGTTAAGGGAGTTACAGGGAGTTAAAAACTTAGTTCTCAAATAGACTTCTACAAAACCTGTTCCCCTGCAGCATGCGGGTCGTACACAATGTCAACGCAAGGTCGAATTGCTCCTGAGTTGAGACAAGGAAACATTTGGTACGTGTGTAAATTCTGAAGATTCATCAGTAAACGTATACGTATACCAGTATATACCAGTATTACGTATACTGGTATACGCACACGTATACCAGTATATGTAATACAGATCATACACTATAGTCATTAACGTATTTAAGCGTCTGCTCAGCGTCCTAACAAGACTCTACATCCAAAAAACATTCATGTGAACAATTTAAAATATTTTCAACGATTTCTAAATCAATCTGGTAAAAAGGTAACAGGATTAGTTAGTAACAAAATAGTATCGTCCATGATAGGTCAGTGCTTATTTGTTTAAACTAAAACCATAACCGCCTTGCATGCACGATAGCACGCGCCGTATTTGTCGTACGAGCGATATATAAGCTTCCTAACCGATAAAAGATCACTGCATCCAGTAGATTTGTGCTCTCGCCACTCTTAATGAAAGTTACATCAAAATTAAAAATTTGAATTAGTCAAAGAAAAATTCAGAGGATGTGATCAAATGTGTTAAGATTAATGAATACGTTATAAGAGAAATCGAATTGTACTTTTTAAAATTTAAACCAGCATTAAAATTAGAAGGATCACTGTCAATTTCATTGATTGCCGCTCATAAAATTCGAAAATTCATGTTTACTTCTGAAAATTTTTGAAGCACAGTTCATCACATACACATAATATACGACGCATAACTAGAATTGTTCAATAGTTACCTTGTGATACAAAATCAATAGAAAAGTATAGGGAATAATCGTGTAATCGTTTTAATTAATATGAGCTTCTCAGAAAGATGTATCTCATCATGCCCGAGCATAATAATAGAATCATTTTTATGACCACTCAACGCTACACGAGCACGCTCGACAAATTTATGTTATCGTGTGCCTACTATTTTCCTTGCGCCACTTGTACATAGAGAATTAAACGGCGCGCAGAAACGTAAAATAATAATTAAATTTCAATCAAAAAAATTATGACGATACTTCCTTAGCACATTTTGCATTCATTATACATTTCAATTTTAATCTTATGAAAGAAAACTCATTGTTGCAATTAAAGTATATTTGAATAAAACACTTAATTTCGAATTTGATTTCGGCGCGATCAGTTCATTTTTGATGGCGGTAGTGCAATAAATTCTAATGCAAATAAAAGCTGATTTAATGATTATCCTCATAGTGAATAGGTCGGCGACTGATAACCAAACCGTAATTATATCATAATTATATATTATATATAATTATATACCGTAATTATATATTGTATAACCAAACCGTTATCTCTTCCAGCTCAAAAAAGCAATACTGCCCTGTAATTATAGCGCGTTCCCGTACGCATCCTCTGTGAAAGGGCAACATTACGAACTATGACGTTATCGGTTTATGAATAGACGCTTGAAATTTAACGAGCAATTTATTCACCCACGGATATGAATGAATGACAACCGTCAGGTTGAGAGTCATACATATCAGATGTAATCGCTATCAAACACGTGCAATTATCTTCCAATTAGCAGGCAAACTAAATTGATAATTCCTGGTTTAGGCATAGGAAAAAAATTTTCTTTTGTGAGAGGCACGTAATGAAATATTCAGGAATAAGCTAAGAGTAAATCTCAGGCGAAGATACGAGAGTGAAATTGCTTTTGAAATGAATTAAATGAGTCAAAGTTCATGAATTTGCAGAATGAAATCCAAATGCGAATGCATAAAGATACGTTAAATTTTTCGGCAAGTGAGATAGAGTTTATGACTGTGCCAGTCCCAGCCTTAGCATTGGGAGACGATGGCAGATTATAAACGGCACTGAACGTCAACAAAAAATGTAAAAAGTGGACAAATAACCGTCTACTGTCATACAGAAATTAATGCTCGGAAATAACATAAATATTCTCACTCGTGTTATGAGACGTAAAGATTGGCATAAGTAACTGTAATTGTAGCTAAACCTTCCAAATAAAAGGCTTAGAAGTAACGAACGAACGAGTATTTCACACGAGCAAATTCATTAACTTCGCGCTAAAAAGTTTACATAAATGCGTTGTCGATGGTTGTTTTACCAACTTGGTGAGGATTGTTCTTCTGGTTGTTTCTCAGTTCATTACACGAGAGACAAGCAAGGTTATTATTAGTTTCCGGAAATGCCCCAGGAAGAATACTGCAAAGTATTCTTACTGTAGTAAGCGAATTTCAATAGTGATGAAGTTGAAGTTTTTAAAAGTGATCAATAACTTGTGTTATTATTGATGGCAAAATACGCAAACTTGAGAGTTATTTTATGCAAAATTTGGGAATCAATTATCAAAGAAAAAAAAGCTCTCGCCTAACTGCAAATAGTATTCATAGGACAGCCCAAGCTTTCACTATGCGTGATGCGTAGCGAAAGCGACGCGGTGCAGTTCATGGGTTCATTTCACGCTAGGATATTTGTCACTTCTCATTTACTGTTTAAAGTGACCTCTGACATTACCTTTAATACGCATACATTATGCTACGTCATTCGTAATTATCAAGATTACAACACCGAGGCACGTGGTGGCATTAAGTCAATTTCTTTTGTGATGATCATTTGCGTGTGAATGAAGTTGTGCGTGTTTTGAAATGATCGTAATAATCCGTAGTTTATATTAATACTTTATTGATGTTATGGTTTAATGGTATTATGTTTTTTCTTGTCATTT